AAACAGTCATGTTTCATCACATACACAAGCTGTACAAAGAGCTGGGCAATAATTCTGTGGAGCCAGAGTACGTTGTATGCAATGACGTATTGTACGCGGACGATGCTATGCTCGCGAGCGGAAGTGCAGTGCACATTCGGCTTCTTTTGGACCTCGCAATCAAAGTGGGCAAGCGTTACGGGCTTGATCTGAATTTCAGTAAGACGGTGGTGATGAAGATCAACAGCGACGGCATGGTGTTGGAACCTTCGTTATTCCCGCTCAAACACGTACGTCAAGCAGTGTTTTGGGAGGGCTCCAGCACGGCAGTTCAGACTTCAGACAGTAAGCCAGGAGATGCGAGATGGTTGGTAGAAGCGCGAGGTGCATTCAGAGCGTTGACGAGATGTTGGGGTCGCGCAGGTATGTCAAAGTCGCGGAAGCTCCGATTATTTGACGACATAGTTGTGCCGAAATTATTGTACAATTTGGAGTCTCTGTGGTTGTTACAGGCGGACCGGCTCATGCTAGACTGTTTCCAAGCATCTTGTTTTTGGAAGATTCTGGGATCCAACATTCGCACTGCTCCAGGGTGTCCAACGCAACAGTTCTGATTACAGCGCGGGCGGATAGTCTGACTGAGGCACTGCGCACCAGGCAAAAGCAATCGCATGAGAGAATTTGCTCGCTGCCCGACGGCAGCTATCTGAGATCACTTGTGTGTGGGCCCGCAACAAATGCACCGCGGCAGTGGCGTCTGGTCCAGACACGGGGCCGCCCAAAATTGCAATGGGACCACTGCGTACACATTGTTGCAGCCAGGCTTCGTAGCTGCATGGATTATTCTTTTGCACAGAGGTCTAGAGTTCCGACCACTTGTATTTCGGCGTCGCCGTCGCTCCCCCCCAGCTGCCTTGTGCCCTTCATGTGTCGCTATATGTGTCGCTGTGTGCCTTGTGCCCTTCATGTGCCGCTATATGTGTCGCTGTGTGTCGCTATGCGCCTCCATGTGTGCGTCGCTATGTGTCGCTGTGTGTCGCTATGCGTCGATATGGGTGTGTCGATATATGTCTCTATATGTCGATATGTGTCGACATGTGTCGCTATGTGTCGCTCCCCAGCACCCCAGCGCACCGCCCCCTCCGCCCCGACGACTTGATTTCGGCGTCGTCGTCCCCCACCCCTCTCCCTCTCCCCAGCAGCCCAGCGCGCTGCCCCCTCCGCCCCGACCACTTTATTTCGGCGTTGTGTCGACATGTGTCGCTATGTGTCGCTCCCCAGCACCCCAGCGCACCGCCCCCTCCGCCCCGACGACTTTATTTCGGCGTCGTCGTCGCCCCCCCCCCTCTCCCTCTCCTCAGCAGCCCAGCGCGCTGCCCCCTCCGCCCCGACCACTTTATTTCGGCGTTGTGTCGACATGTGTCGCTATGTGTCGCTCCCCAGCACCCCAGCGCACCGCCCCCTCCGCCCCGACGACTTTATTTCGGCGTCGTCGTCGCCCCCCCCCCTCTCCCTCTCCTCAGCAGCCCAGCGCGCTGCCCCCTCCGCCCCGACCACTTTATTTCGGCGTCGTCGTCGCCCCCCCTGTCCTTTTCCCCGGCAGCCCAACGAGCCGCCCTCTCCGCCCCGACCACTTTATTTCGGCGTCGTCGTCGCCCTATTTCGGCGTTGTGTCGACATGTGTCGCTTTCCCCAGCAGCCCAGCGGACCGCCCTCTCCGCCCCGACCACTTTTTTTCGGCGTCGTCGTCGACCTATTTCGGCGTTGTGTCGACATGAGTCGCTATGTGTCGCCCCCCAGCACCCCAGCGCACCGCCCCCTCCGCCCCGACGGCTTTATTTCGGCGTCGTCGTCGCCCCCCCCCCCCTCTCCCTCTCCTCAGCAGCCCAGCGCGCTGCCCCCTCCGCCCCGACCACTTTATTTCGGCGTCGTCGTCGCCCCCCCCCCCCCCCCCGTCCTTTTCCCCAGCAGCCCCAGCGCGCCGCCCTCTCCGCCCGACCGCTTTATTTCGGCGTCGTCGCCGCCCCCCCCCCCGTCCCCCTCTCCCGAGCAGCCAGCGCGCCCGCCCGTTCGCCCCGACCACTTTATTTCGGCGTCGTCGTCGCCCCCCCCCCCCTCCCCATTCCCAGCAGCCCAGCCCAGCGCACCGCCCCCTCCGCCCCGACCACTTTATTCTCTTGCACAGGGTGTCTAGAGCTCCGACCATTTTATTTCGCGTCGCTCCCCCCCCCCCCGCGTCCTCAGCGCCAGAGTGGGGCCCCCGCGCCGTGGCTCTCTGCCCCAAGCCCCCCCGCGTCCCCAGCGCCCCAGCGGGGGCCCCGCCCACTGCCCCCTCCGCCACGAACGCTTTATCCCGCGTCGCCCCCCCCGCCCCCCCGCGTCCCCAGCGCCAGTGTGAGGCCCACGCGCCGTGGCTTTCTGCCCCGAGCCCACCGCGTCCCCAGCGCCCCAGCGGGGGCCCCGCCCACTGCCCCCTCCGCCACGAACGGTTTCTCCCGCGTCGCAGCTCCCCCCCCTCCCCCGCGTCTCCAGCGCCAGTGTGGGACCCCTGCGCCGTGGCTCTCTGCCCCAAGCCCCACTGCGTCCCCAGCGCCCCAGCGGGGCCCCCGCCCACTGCCCCCTCCGACACGAACGCTGTATTACACGTCGCACCCCCCCCCTCCGCGTCCCCAGCGCCAGAGTGGGACCCCCGCGCCGTGGTTCTCTGCCCCGAGCCCCCCCGCGTCCCCAGCGCCCCAGCGGGGGCCCCGCCCACTGCCCCTTCCGCCACTAACGCTTCATCCCGCGTCGCGCCGCACACCACCTCCCCACCTCCCTCCCCGCGTCCCCAGCGCCCCAGTGGGGACTCCGCCCCGTGCCCCCTCCGCCCCGACAATTTTATTCCGCGTCGCGACGCACGCCACCTCCCCCCCTTCCCCCCCTTTCCCCAGCGCCCCAGTTGGACCCCCGCCCCGTGGCCCTCTGCCCCAAGCCCCGCCCAGTGCCCCCTCCGCCCCGACAGTTTATTCCGCGTCGCGGCACACACCACCACCCCTCCTCTCCGCGCCCCCAGCGCCCCAGTGGGACCTCCGCCCCGTGCTCCCTCCGCTCCGAGCACTTTATTCCGCGTCGCGACGCACGCCGCCTCCCCCACCCTCCCCACCTGGGGCTTGGGCCCCGTTGCTGGGCCCAGAGGGCGATGCCTTGCCCCCTCTTCCCCCCTCCTCCTCCTCCACCTCCTCCTCCTCCTCCTCCTCCTCCTCCTCCTCCTTCTCCTCCCCTTTCCTTTTTGTGCGAGGGCTATGGCACACGTGACTCTTGTTCCCCCCATGTTCGTCGTCGTCGCCCCCCCTCCTCCCTCCCCGCGTGACCCGAGTTTAACTTCGCAGTCGGGCGCTTTGCTGTTTTCTTTCTGCCCGCGCGTCTTGCCGGAAACCCGGCTCAGTGACGACAGTGGTACCCGAGCGCCGTGCCAAGGTCTGGCGCATGGCTTCTGTTTTATTTTGTTTTGTTCTGTTATGAATGTTTAGTCGCCGGGCGGTCGGCTACTAAAGCATATGCTGCCGAGGCGTGCCGAAGCATTTACACCGCCCTCTTGATCCTCCTCCTCCTCCTCCTCCTTTTCCTCCTCCTCCTCCTCCTCCTCCTCCTCTTCCTCCTCCTCCTCCTCCTCCTCCTCCTCCTCCCTCCTCTCCCTGCAGCTTGGCTGCAGTGGGTCCTGGGCAGCACGAGTCCACTGGGCCCCATTCACGATGCACTGCCGACGCAGCCCCAAATACGATCGCGTCGTGACAAAAATCAGGACGGGAGATTTTTGGCTACCTTCGGCCCTCGGGGGGCCCTCGCCGGGCCTCGGGGCCGTCCAGAAAGTGGCTCGGGGCGAAAAGCTGGTGGTCCCGGGGAGAAGCCGGTGGTCCCAGGAACGCCGTCCTGACAGAGTCAGGACGTCGCACGTCTGGGACCTTGTGTGCCCCGTGGGACCAGTTCCCTTCGGGCAGTGCCTAGGCGGGTCACCAGCATCCGGGCTTTCTCGGGGTGCCCCTGGCCCAGGGTGCCACCAGCTTTTCGCTCCATGTCGGAGCCCCTCGGGCCCTCCGGGCCTCGTGAGGGGTGCTCATTGAGGCCGCGGGGGCCTTGTTGGAAATCCTTGAGCCAGGGGCACTTCTAGCAGCATCCGACAGTAGGGGAGTCACCACATCCTCTGGGAGATCGGCGGCCGAGGAGCAGAAAGGATCGAGGCTCGAGGAGTTTCTTGGGGGTTCCCCGGCGCCCCTGAGAGTCCTGGGGGGGTCAGCTTGATCGGGGGGGGGGAGTCCCTGGGCAGCTGGCGACTCCCCCCCTTGTGGTGACCCCCGCTGGCACTGCCTGGGGGCTGGCTCTTCCTCCCGAGCTGTTGTTTGCCCGTCCTGGGGCACGGCGAGGGGTCGCCCTTGAGCCCGACAGAGCGGCACAAGGCACGTCCCGCCGTGAGGGGCATCCGCCGGGAGAGGATCGGGAGTGGATCGTGGGCCAGACCCGGCTGGTCGGGGCGGGGTTGGTCTCGGCGCGTTGGTCGGGATCGGCTCCCCCTGCTCTTTCTCCCTCCATCCCTCCTCCTTATGATACTCTTCCTCTCCTCCCTCCCTCCATCCTCCTCCTTATCATCCCTCCTTCCTCCCTGCCTCCCTCCCGCCTCCTCCTTCTTATCCTCTCCTCCTTATTCTCCCTTCCTCCCTCCCTCCCTCCTTTCTGCTGGTCCTCCTTCTCTGTGCTCCTCCTCCTGTCTCTCCTCTTCCGTCACTTCCCTGCCCCTCGCCCCCTCCTCCCGTGGGCGCGGTCGTCCAGCATCGGGCCGTGGATTCGCCTACTTAAGTCGGGCCTGTCCCTCTACAGGGGGACTGTTCAAACATAGTAAGAAATAATATGGGGACGATCTTTTGTCATGCTGTTTTTTTGTTTTGTAGTATTTTTTGACTATGTTTCCTTTTCGCACCAAATCCGCCTGTAGGGGGACGTGCCCGACGTAAGCCTACACTGGAAAGGGAGGGGTGGTCGGGTCCAAGGACATACACGATCGAGTGCCTCACGCAAAACGGGATGGCCATCCAGGCTGGCACGTCCCACTTCTTGGGCCAAAATTTCGCCAAGGCGTTCGACGTCACATTCCAGACCGAGGAGCAGACAAGGGAGCTCGTGTGGGCTACATCATGGGGCGTGTCAACTCGTCTTATCGGCGCGATCATCATGGTCCACTCCGATGACGACGGCCTCGTGCTCCCTCCACCCATTGCGGCTATTCAGGTTGTGATTTGTGTTTTATTTGTGAAGAAGGACCCGGAGAAGCAGTTGGAGGTCATCGCCGCGGCCGAGAAACTTGGCAAGGAATTGGAGGCCGCTCTTTCCACGATCTACATGTTGTGTGCCTTGCATCCTTTCTCAGCTCTGTGCTCGCTTCTGTCACCTGCCTGTCCTGCGCCCGACTGGTCTTCGTATCCGAGACAGACAGGGAAGGCATCATGAATACGGTAGGTTCGTGCGGCGATGGCGCGCCGGCGACGCCTGCGAAGGCGTTCAAGGTTGACTTCTGCGACGCGGGAGCACCGAGAGACGCGGTGACGCCATTGGGCCCGATTGAATTCAACCTTGAACGATCGGGGCTGCGATCGATTCAAGGTTGAACGATCGACGCGGTGCCAGAAACCTTTGCGCGCGCCGACGCCGTACGAACCTACCGTATACCTCGGCGGAAGTCCGCGCGGATTTCTTGGGTTTGCGCTGGGTCCCCCATGGCGGCACGTTCGGCGCCGCCCCTGGCGCTCTCTGCGTGCCTGGCACTAGACAGTGGGGTCCAGCGCTGACCCAAGAAATCCGCGCGACCCCCCTACAGCTTTAGTCTCGAGTCGGGCATGTCCCTCTACAGCAGGGATACTCCAAAATAGTCCACAGAGCAGTCGGGGGGCGATGTTTCGAAAGTATCTTGCTGGCCCGTTGGGAGCATGTTTGGACTACTGCTTATTTTTCTCCCAAGGGCCGCCCGTAGGAGGAGGGGGAGGAGGAGGAGGAGGAGGAGGAGGAGGAGGAGGAGGAGGACGAGGAGGAGGAGGAGGAGGAGGAGGAGGAGGAGGGGGGAAGGCTGCTTGGAGGGGGCGCCAGCCACGGTCAGAGCGAGCCTTGGGCCCTGGGCGGGCGCGCCGCGGGGAGAGCGGGAGCAGAAGCGGTGCAGCCCGGCCACGCGCGGAGCGGGGCAAAAGGGGGAGGGGGAGGAAGAGGAGGAGGAGGAGGAGGAGGAGGAGGAGGAGGAGGAGGAGGAGGAGGAGGAGGAGGAGGACGAGGAGGAGGAGGAGGAGGAGGAGGAGGAGGAGGAGGAGGAGGGGAAGGCTGCTTAGAGGGGGCTGCTGCCTAGGAGCCGCCGCGGGCCTCGCGTCGACAGACAGACGAGGCCCGCGCCTTCTAAGAAGCAGGGGTGCTTCTAAGAAGCCTTCTCCCCTCCCCCTGCCCCCTGGCGCGCGCCGCCAAGCAGCGCCCCTCTCCGCTTCGTTTTGAGGCTGCCGTGCAGGGAACCTTCAGGGTCCCCCTCAGGGCCACTGCTGCAACCCTCGGGCGGGGCTAGGATGAGGATCAATCCGCTCCAGAGCGTGCCAGAACGCTCGCAGAGCGTTCCGGGACGCTCTGAGAAGGCCGCGGCGCTCGGGACATCCTCCAGAGCCGTAGGATGTCAGAGCTTCCCGATTTATCCGCACCCGAATCTACCTTCGTTTTGGCTTCGTCTTGGGCCCTCGATGGCCCCTCGCTTGCTTGCCCCTCCTCTGACAGCTGCCCGAGGGCCCCCCCGAGGCCTCGCCAGGACCGGTGTAGGTGGGTGGGCGGCGCTCAGCGGTCTCTGGAGGCCTCCGGGGGACCAAGAACAGCCAAGGACCTCGATCTTCCTCGTCCTCCCTTCTCCTCCCCTCTTTGCCTTTTCCTCCTGATGGCCTCCTGCTCTACTCCTTCATTTTCCTAACCATCCTGTGGTGTCGGGTCTTCGTTTTGAAGAGACGGTCCCCGCGTTCACTACTCCCGCTGCCCCCTTCCATCCTCTCATCATCATCATCATCATCATCATCATCATCATCATCATCATCATCATCATCATCATCATCATCATCAGCATCAGCATCAGCATCATCAGCATCATCAGCATCAGCATCAGCATCAGCATCAGCATCATCAGCATCTCTATCAGCATCAGCATCATCACCATCATCAACATTAATATCAACATCAACATCATCAACATCAACATCAACATCACCATCGTCAGCATTGTCATCACCATCATCACCATCATCATCATCATTATCATCGCCATCCTCATCATCGTCATCGTCATCGTCATCAGCATCAACATCATCATCAGTTTCAGTATCATTAGCAGTATCATTATCAGCAACCTCATCATTACCATTATCATTATCATTACAATTATCATGATCAGTATTACTACCATCCTTATCAGCATCGTCATCATCATCAACATCATCATCATCATCATCATCATCATCATCATCATCATCATCATCCGTTATCGTGACCGTCATCGACACCCATTTCGGTACCCCTCTCACACGTTTCGTGGCCCCATAGGGGGCTCCACCGAAGGCCCCAGTGCCACCGTCCACATGCGTCCCCCACACCAATTTCGACACCCCCCTCACACGTTTTGTGGCCCCATACTGAGCTCCACCGATGCCACCATCACACATGTTGGCACACCCCTCACACGTTTCGTGGCCCCATAGGGGGCTGCACCGAAGGCCCCAGTGCCACCGTCCACTTGCGTCCCCCACACCCATTTCGGCACACCTCTCACACGTTTCGGGGCCCCCATAGGGAGCTCCACCGAAGGCCCCAATGCCACCGTCCACATGTGTCCCCCACCCCTATTTCTGCGCACCCCTCGCACGTTTCGTAGCCTCACAGGGAGCTCCACCGAAGGCACCAGTGCCACCGTCCACATGCGTCCCCCACACCAATTTCGGCACACCCCTCACACGTTTCGGGGCCCCATAGGGGGCTCCACCGAAGGCCCCAATGCCACCGTCCACATGCGTCCGCCGCACCCATTTCTGCAGTCCCCCACCCCCATTTCGGCACACCCCTCGCACGTTTCGTGGCCTCACAGGGAGCTCCACCGAAGGCCCCGGTGCCACCGTCCACATGCGTCCCCCTCACCCGTTTCGGGGCCCCATAAAGGGGGCTCCACCGAAGGCCCCGGTGCCACCGTCCACATGCGTCCGCCGCACCCATTTCTGCACACCCCTCGCACGTTTCGGGTCCCCTTATAGGGTGCGCCATCGAAGAAGATATTCAAATTGCGGTACTCACATGTGTATATATGGTTGGGTCTTTTGCCAGGCTAATTCTCCTCCTAGTTCAAGTCGCAATGGTTTTGGGTGGCTGCTCCTGCAGTGCCCAGGCACCATACGACGCACCTTCACCCCTGAAGGAAGCGTAACGCGCAGCAGCTTTACAACCTCCTCCTCGTCCTTCCTCATCCCCTTTCCTGCGCCTCCCTCCTCCTCTCCCTCCCTCCTTCGTCCCTCCCCCCTGAATGAACTACAGTCAACGCGCATAGTAAGGACACACGACTTCTTCAAGGGTGCCCTTGGGTCCTTGCCTGCCTCGGCCTCTGCGGCCCGACCCTAGCAGCTCTCGCAGGCCAGAAGACTTCAGCTTCGGCCTCCAAGGGTCTTGCGTCCTTGCCACGCGCCCTTACTCTACGTTTCCACTGTGCTGCCCCCTATTGCGCCAAGCCGGGCCCGGTCGGGTCGGGCCATGCCGACCCTGAAGCTCGAAATTCCAAACAGCTGCACGCATGGAGGGCGGGCCGTTTTCAAACTGGGGCTCTCGCATCGGCGGCGCGCGCGCTCGTCTTGAGCAGCGCCCACGGCTTCATGGACGGAGGACTGCTCGTTTTCTCAAAGCGGTGTTCTCGCCGTGGTTCCGCGCACTCTCTCGTCTTAGGCAGCCCAGCAGTTACCCAGTGGGGGGCGGCTCATTGTGAAGCTGTGGCCTGAGGCTTCCACACCACATCCTGCCACAGTGGTGCATCTACGAAGCCGTCTTATGGATGCGGTGTAACTCTTGTATCAGACGGGGGCCTCCGCCTGAGAGTTATTGTTAACACGTGTGATGTGGAACCGCTGCGCGGATATAGGGCGTCCCTCTTCAAAGCGGGGCTGTCGTTTGCCAATCCTGTCTAATCTTATTGGCGCTGTGACCCCGCTTATCGAAAGCAGATCGACTCGCTGGCCTCCCCAGGGGTGCGTCTGGACCCACGTTCAGCCATGGGCCCAGAAAAGGTGCCCAAGCATACAAACAAATGAAACACAAACAACAAAAACAAACAAAGTGCCCAAACAAAGCATCCTCGGACCTCGTTCTTCCAGCCTCCTCCCTCGAGCCTCCTCCATCTCCTCTTCCTCCTCCTCTACCCCGCTTCCTATATCAGTACCTCCTCCGTGTCGCACCCCCAGACGTGTCGGTTGGGCGGGCCGGGCATTTCGCCCAAAACCTTGAGGCTTGAACGTTGCAACAGCTTCAAAGATGGAGGGTGCTTCGTTTCCAAACTGTTCATCCGCGTGGACCCCAAACAGTGTTCTCGCATAAGATGTGTAATCTATGTCGTGCACTCTGTGTGTGTTGCACCCTATGTGGTGTAAACTACGTGGTGCAATATGGGAAGCACTCTATGTTGTGTAAGCTAGGTGTGGTGCGCAATCTAAGTGGTGCAGTCTGGAATATATGGGGTGTATGCTATGTGGTACAAGCGATGTGGAGCTAATCTGATCATCTATATGGTGTGAGCTATGTCGTCTAAGCTACGTGGCGCAATCCATGTGGTCGGATCTATAGGGTGTGAGTTAATTATGTAGTGCAGTCGATGTGGTGCAATGTGTGGTGTGCTATACTTTGGGCGTAAGCTATTTGGTACACGATCTGTGGTGTAAGCAATGCGGTGCCATATATATATGCGGTGCAAGTTACGTGGTGCAATATAGTTGTGAAGCAACCTAGATTGCGCCAGCAATGTTGTGCGGTGTAAGCTATGTGGTGTAATATATTTAGTACAGTCTATGAGCTGCAATCCACTTTGACTGTCTTGAAGCTGTCCTCTCTACTGCTCGTGCAAACATCCCACCCACCCACCCGCAACTTGGTTGGCAAAACCTCTTAAGACCGACTACGACGACACCGACGACAACGACTAGGACGACGACGACGACGTCTCCGACAACTTCGACGACGACAACGACGCCGACGCCGACGACGACGAAGACGACGACGACGACGCCAACGAAGGCGACGACGAGGGAGGAGGAAGGACGACGACGGCGACAACGAAGACAACG